TCTGGACCATGCAGGTGGTTGTCTGGAAGCTTTGTTTGAAAACAGTGGGATACTGTTGCATGCTATGCTTGCTCAACCTTAGATGTGTTTAATTGCATGATTAGTGTCTTGATTTTTTTTGTGTGTGTGCGTGTGTGTGTGGGTGTGTGTGTCTGTGTGTGTGTGCAAAATGACACTTGAACAAGTTTTACATAACTTAAGTATTATAATGCCATTTGTTACTACTGAAAACATCATTTTTGGTCTAAATCCAACTTTTTATTCTAGCTTTAAATTATTTTGTTTGCATGATAATGACATGTTTAAAAGGTTTCTGTCGAGTGCCATATTTTGAGTCATTTCGTGTAAGACGTGCTTTAATGGTAGACATCGTAAGAAATTTTTAAACAAGCTATCGATGAGTTATGATTATATGAAATTAATAAGTTGACACGTTCTCTGTGGATGTGAAAAATTCGTACCAAAGTGAATGTCGAAGAAATCATCAGACAGTTTTGTCTTTATTTAATAAGCCAGTAGGTTTTAAGTCTTAATTTCATTTAAGGTGGGAAAAAGCTGTATTAGTCAGGAAGAGAGTAAATCTGTTGGTCAAACGCCAACCACCTATACTATAGGGTTGTAGAGATTTTTTTAAAGGAATTCTTAAACAGGCACTTTCTACTTCTTGCTTCATGCAAGTGCAAATCCTCATATCATTGCATAGAGTTAACAGTTCACCTCAACTTTTTACCTTTTGGCAACTTAATACAGTATTTAACACTATTGAGGAGTTAGATATGAGTTTTGAATAGAGCAGTTGATCTGCAGTCTGCTTAACATTGTTCAAGTGCAGCTTTTTCCTTTTTTTTTCTCCTTCAAATTCCAAGTGAGACTTTGCTAGAATGCTACTTCTACTTGTTAGTTTCATTTAAGACTGGTGGCATTACAGGGTATATTTCTATATGTGATGCTAAGTTTGTATATAATTATGCACTGTATATACAGTAAACCAGTGTATGCAAACAATGTTTGTAAGTGTAATCTGATGCATTTGTAGACATGGCATGCATTGTCGACAGCCCACACATTTGATTGTGTACATTACACCATACCAGTTGTTGTTGATTTTGTTCTAATCTCTTGTACATGATGATGCTGTTGTATTCTAATGATGGTGCAATATTTTAATCTCTTGTTTTGATACTGTCTCTGAAACTTTCCAAACATGATGTTCCTCGGTGGGTAAAAAAAAAAAAAAAAACACCACAGAAAAACCTTGTAAACGTTCTTTTGTACTCTTCCTCGAGGTTTGAGGATTTTCAAAGTTAGACCCAGAGACAGACGGACAGCTTTTTACTCCAGATTTCTTCCAGGGGTTCAGTAGTTTATAGTTTTGCTCCTTTGTGCTTCCAAGATGATACACTAAAGTAGGACTGTGCCAGCGAATGGGAGGGATTAGGCAGGCATGACTGTTGTGTTCACTTCATGTATCCTGTTGTAATGTGTGCATTCAAGTGTGTGTACTACAACAGTGGCATATTGTACCTTAGTACAGTTGTATACTTTTCATTGCCAGCTAATTGTACAGTATAATTGAAAATTTTGCCACACCCATAGACTAATATGCCACCCTAGCAGAATGTGAACGAAACTTCGGAATTGTGTGTTCCCTCCACCAGGGGGCAATCTATCACATCTCACACCTCTACAGGCCCGGATTACACCATTAAACTGCATTATCTTCCAGCTCCTTATGCTGACAATCAGGTGCTCATTGGCATAAAGTTACAGTCCAATTTGAGTTTTTATCATTCAGTGTTCATAAAACTACAAATTTGTCAGACCTTCTCATCTTTTTAGTCTCATATGCCTTTTATCCATTAAATAGATGAGACTATTTAATGACAGTTAGCCTTTTGTAAACCAGAATCCTTTGTTATAGGAGCCTTTCTGTTAGTATGTGCTTTATACAGTGCTAGGGTGCTCTACACTGCTTCTTTGCTGCAGCGCTCTTGAAGTTTGGCCTCACATCCATGTACTCTCATCACGCCAGTCACCAAACGCAAGTTGTGAATGATGCTGTTGCAGTTCATGAGCTGTGTCTGTCTGCATTAATGGCGTCTGCATGTCCAGGGTGTCTGCCAGGTTCTGTTGATCTGAAGCATTTTGGCCCCAGGCTCCAGCTTGACCTTGCCATATACAGTGGAAGTTGCCACCTTTCTCCCTTGCTGTGTTTTCCAGTGGTCTGTAAATAATGCTGCAAACTGCCTGGTTTTCAAAAACCAATGAAACCCATGCAAGGATCTCTAAAAGACGGATTTAACACTTGGTGTGGTTATCGAAGCGTTGGGAGAAAAGTGAGTTTCATTTGTTTACATTATGTTTACAATGGCACAGTTTTACTTTTTAAGAAGATATATGTAGGTATAGACAATATTTGCATATTTATTGCCTAAGGTTAAATGATATGATGTGTATTGTGTTTTCACATTTGGAATATAATGTTACAGTTGTCACCTGTATTACTATCTGGATGATTTTGCTAAAGTAGTTGATCATTTTTATGACTACTAAGTGACTGTTTTCTGTGCCTTTTTATGGTTAGAATGCATGGTTAACTATTTATTACAATTTGGAGTCACTGAGATGTGTATTTTTGTATTCTGAATAAATAAATGGTTCAGCTTTTGTTGTACATTTTTAAGGTGCCTTGAAACAGGCTACCTATTCATATCTTTCTTCTTCAATAAAATCGGATACATATGCAATCTGACAGGCTCTTCTTTTTTCATTGACACTTTAAACAAAAGGATTGTGTCTTATATTTTCAAAATATGTCGAGAAAATGGAACATGTTAGTGCCATTCTACCTCATTTAATGCAACACAGCCCTTTTTAAATGGGGTGGCACGAAGGTGGTGACCAGAAAATATATATCAGCCATTAATTTTTCTTAGACAAGAACAACAAAACATACTCAAATTTCCTAAATAAACTGGCTGGTTTGTTTACTCTTTTATGCTCTCTCTGCTTTGATCAGCTTGTTTGTTGTTTTTGTGGCATTCCAAACAGGTGTTTTGCCAATGGGAACGTTTCAAAGTGCCCCCTGGTGGGCAAACTATGCATTGTTAACACTCATAACTTTTTAATTTTTCAAATGTATTTTTCGACATTCGTACATGGCACCAGATACACTGGTACATGTCTGCTGATAATACTATTCAGCTTAAATCAGTCAATTTCTCAACAATAGAAGAAAAAACTGACTGAAGTTTTTAGTCCAGTCTGAAACCTGAACATTTATCTCAAATGGATTACTTGCACATACACTACACTCATTATTTGAAACGTTGGTTGCTTTTAACAGGAGCATCCAACACTGGAACATTATACAGGTGTGCCACAGAAAATTTAAAAGGGGTAAATTTGAATATATCCAGGCACTTTACATACAAACAACAATGCCTACAAAGACATTTTCTATTTTCATTTTGATAATTGTGACCTGCAGTACAGAAAATAAAGCAAATAAAATTATATCAATCATATCAGAGTTTGAATAAATTACTGTTCAAATAGTATGACTACAATACATCTCTTATTGTAGGTCAGTACACACAACCACAGTCATGGGGAAGACAAGTTGTGGTTATCCAGATGATCATCAACAGGGCTGCAGAACATCATTGCTAAAAAAAAGTTGGCTGTTTGCAGAGAGCTGTATTAATTAATTTTCATCGTTGGAGGTGAAAAGTGTGGTAGTAAAAGGCGCACAAGCAACAGGGATGACCAGGAGTAAAACCTTCGGTTGTTACATTCCTAATATCAAGCCCCTCCCCTAAACTGGAGACATTATAAGCATCTTTCCTGGGCTAAGAAAAAAAAGAACCACACTGCTGCACTGTGGTCCACTTTTCAGATGAAAGTAAATGTTGCATTTCATTTAGAAATCAGCATCCAAGAGTCAGGAAGGAAAGAGGAACAGTGGAGAATGTTTGAAGTCCAGTGTGAAGTTTCCACATGCTAATTTGGGGGGTCAGCAGCTGTTATTGCTGCTTTTGGTCCAAAGTCAGTGCTGCTGTTTACCAGGAAGGGAACTTCATGATGCTATCTACTGACAAGCTTCATGGAGACGTCCATTTCTTTTTCCAGCAGAATTTAGCTCCTGCCCACAGTTCCTAAACTACTACTTAATGGTTTGCAAACCATGTTACTGTTGTGCTCTGACCCGACCTGTGTGTGATAGATGACAAACACAGATGAGTTGATGTTTGCTATCAAAGCAACCTTAGCTTGAGATGATGATGACTGTAGCAACAGGTTAGCAGGTCTGTTTGCTGTAAGCCTACACTATCTCAACATAACACAGCCGGTGGGCCTAGAATTCCACCTGTTAACACCCCAAACCTTTCCAAGTGAAGCAAATTTTTGCTAATATGTTTTGGGAATTTACACTTTACAGTTTCTCTGTTGTGCTGTGAGATTAATCACTTGTGTCAAACAAACGAATAGCTACATTGTGACTTCAGACTTTTGTGGCATTTAGAGAGCTATTTTATTCAACCAGACCCCCGAGCATTTCCTTCCGCATCCACTCTTATGATTAGACTTTTCTTTACTGAGATATTCTCTCTTTGTAGTATTGCTGTAGCTCACTTCTACTTTTCTGCTTAAAATTCCTCCTGATATTTATTTTTATCCCAAGAAGCTAAAACCAACAGAAAGACTGTCCAGCTATATTATTGGTGTTGATGTTCACATGATAAGTAAAGGTATCCAGAACGATGAAGGGTGGGTGGTCAAACAAGAAGGCAATATATATCTATGCCAGGTATATGTCAAAATCGGTTTGGTATGATGATGCATTTTATTGTTATTGTTGTTGTTTTTAAATAATACTCAGTGTATGTGTGTGTGCGCGCGCCTGTGTTTTCATTGTTCTGTCTTCAGTGGCAGCGTGACACTTATCTTTTTTTTTCGGTGTGCGATTGATTATGCCTCATTCTTGTTTTCATGGGAAGAACGGCAGCACGCAGTAGATGGGGATTTCGAGTCAGGTTTAGGAGCTGTCTAAATTAATCTGTAATTTGCCTGAACTCCTCCCGGTGACTTTTGGGAAGAATTGACATAGTTATGGTATTCAATAACAGAGGTCCTAAACACTGCTGTGCTCAGTGTGACTTGAAAGTTCATGTTTTCATTTTGTGGTCGGAAGAGTTCCAAACGAGTGAATCGTTTACGAATCGCGCATCAAACACAGCGGCTACCGTCTGCGCTGCTGGAGTCCGACACTGAGCGAAGAGGTAAAAATGACTTACTAATGGCAACTGCGACGTATATGCTAAACGAAAAATGACCACAAACTGCTGCCGGTTTATCTGGATGTGTCGTAGCGCTATCGTTAGCTTGGTGGCTAGGTGCTAGCTGGCGACGTTAAGGTGACAACAGACCGAGCGGACCGCGGCCTGGTTCTGCTGCTAGCATAGTGATTGACAGCCTGTCAACTAACAAAGAGGTTTATTTTGCTGTGGTCGACAGTCTTTTTAAGTGTGCCCAAGGTTTGTTGTGTACTCTGTATGTCTATGTATAATGTGCCTTTGCTAGCTAGCTAGTTGGGCGTTTGTGTGTTCTGGCCATGATTTCACAGAGCCTGAGTAGTCGTGAATCAGCCTCAGCATCCACGGTGTGTGGCTCTTCTGCGGCCTGCTGCTGCGGCGGGTACCAGCCCCGCGAACTGTAAATTAGCCAGCTTTCTTCCTCCAAAGCACCCCAATGCTTTTTTACGTCTATTAAAAATCTAGCAGTGTTTACCGGCATTTATTCATCCATAAAGACGACAAGCATGCAGTGTTCAGGGGGAGTTGTCAATGCCAACAAGTCATGTTATGCGAAATCTTTACATGTAAATGGTTCGAATAGCAGTTAACATGCAGATCAAGTTATCCTTTTGTTGCACAGAAATTTTACATAGAAAATGGCAAATGTGTTATTTTGTCTATAAAATAACACATTTGCACGTGTTATTTCGGAACATCACAGTGATGGCTATTAAAGGAAAGGCCACTGGAACTGAACATTTGCATTGTGCTGTTCCAAAATGTTTTTAAAAAGTCGAGTCCTGACCTAAAACCAACATCGAAACTGAAATAATTAGTGAAAGTTGTGAGAATTATTGAGTTGATGCTTATATAAACTGCATTGTCATATGATTAGCTGTACAGTAGGGCTGTAATTAAATAGTTGTTTTCGTCCTACCCTTTTCTTCTTCTCGTTCCATCAATGTATTTGTGTTTTGCACCACATAAAAAGCACAAGTGCAACATTCCTCAGAACAACACTAAAAAAACAACTGCATTTCATTTAGATGAAATGAAGTATGTTGAACAACACTGTGAGCAAAAGATGAATAGGTTATTGAGGTAATGATGAGCCTAAAGCTGTGCAACATTAAGGCTTAATACTTTGACCTGTTTTGTCTACCAATCAAAAAGTAGCTCATTGTGAATAAATTCAATTTGCTGCTCTCCCATTGCAGTATATAAACCTTAATTTCTCTTCCTGCTAGAAGTGGGATAAATACCCCCCCACCCCCACCCACCCACCCACCCACCCCCACACACACACACACACACACACACACACACACACACACACACACACACACACCTGTTTTGTCCTTCTGTGGTCAGAGTTCCACATATTTCTTCTGCAGCTGCCATGTCTGAAACGTACTGGCCTCCACGTGATTGTCTTTTTGCAATAATGACAGATATTGGAGAACAAAAAGTCAGTTTATCTCTAACCATAGTGGTACCTGTGCCTCAGTAGAAGCTGGTGTCAGATCTCACAGTGAGCTGTGAGTTTTCTTCTCTCCCTGTCTCTGTTTATCCACCCTTCCAGCCACCCACACTCACCCTCAGAATTTGGCCCACATCAGATCCCAACCAAACAAGATGTTGGACCACATATAGACTACATAGCCCTCCACAGGTTGGCTTTGTTTTTGGTTTTTTTTCCCCTGCCACCCATTTTAGATCATCAGCTCCCCCCACCAGACAATCCTCTCGCTGGCTTGACTTAGCTTCATATTTTTTTTTTTTTTCTCCAAACATTGATAATTGACTTTTATGAATCAGCTCTGGAGGATTTGTGTAAGCCTAAACTTAGTTACCCTTAATTGTAGTTTTTCCTGTGACATGACTAATGCTGAATCCATTTCGCATTATGTGACCACGCTGGTTGCATAAAGTGGTGATGTTGGCCTCCTGAGTCGATTCTCACAAACTGTACCACTGAATGACAAGTCTGTGAGCTAAACATGAAACATAAACAGATTAACAATCTACTTATTCAAATTAGTCACCACCATAATATACATCACTGTGGCTGCTTTTGTTGTGAGTGAAGTGGGGTGTGCTGCATAGTTGATTTTTAGGCAGCAGTAGCTGCGAAGCTAGCTGAGAAGCCAGGAGGTCCTGGATCACCAGAGGAAGCCTGTGGCATGCACTCTACCCCTCTGGTTCTCAGGATGCAGGATGGGCTGATCAGTAGGACCGCCTGCCTGCGTCTAGACTCAACTAGCCACTTTGGCCCGTACCTCAAAGGAGAGGCTTGGATTTCTTGGGAAACTTTTCCTTCTTGTACACTGTAAATATTTTGCTTCCATCACTCGCGCTCTCATGCTGCTTACCAAATGTGGTCGTCCTGCTCTAAGCGCATACACCCCTCTGTTCTTTTGCCTTGCTGTTTGATCTTTGATGCAGGCCTGGCTGTTTAAAGAATAGCAAAGAGAAAGAAAAGAAGTATTGCCAGTACAATACAATAGCTTAGCTTCACCAGCAGGGTAAGTCTAGGTAAGTCCTGCTTTGAGGCACTTGATTCATGTTTGTGGAACTATCATCTTCACAGCCCACTGACTTTGTTGCATCATGCTTCTTATTTTGGCATCTGTATTTATGTGCAACACTAGATAGGGACATAGCTTCTTGCTAATAACACTGAGACTGTCATTGCTTTGTCATGTGATTGTTGCTGTGGTCAGGGGGGTGGGAAAGTTGAGTGGAATGTAAGCGCACCAGAGAGATCACACTGAGCTGCTCTCTTTTACTTGCAGAGGATTGTAGATTCAAATGGAAAACGACTTAGCTGTGGTGTTCAAAGTGACAATAGAAGTCGTTAAAGAAGTTGAACTTCACACTTTAACATATTTTTTTATCCACTTTTCTTTCTCCTTACAGGTGAAAGGCCAGCCGGCCAACCAGCCACGTACAGCTAGCTGTCACTATGGATGCCTGTGCCCGTATTCGAGGAGTCCCAATCAGGTCCAGGTCCTCAGTGCGGAAAGAGGTCTGTCTGTCAGGATGTATTTGCATTTAATTTTTCACACATGTGCAGTACACTCAGGGCTCCACCCAATGAATTGCCCAGTGGCTAAGGACTAGCAGAAAGGTATGTTGAACAAGTTGGTGGGCCAGCCACTGGCCCACTGGGAGTTTCACAGTGCTGAGTTCACCTGTGAACCAAACCAGCTGACTTGCTGCTATCAAGTCGTTTTTCTTGCAGTCAAAAATTAGTTGCACATTAAAGAAGGAGTTTGATGAAGGCTATGGCTTTTCAAACATTGCAACTTTCTCTCACAGTTCAAAGACATGCGGGGTGTTAGGTTAATTGATGATTCCTGCGTGTGATTGTAAGTGTGAACAGTTGTCAGCCTCGTAAGTTTTGGCCCCCCAACAGTCTGTCGACCTCTCTAGAGCATACCCTGCCTCTTGTTCTATGACTGCTGGGAGGAGTCAGCATGGCACAGTATTTATTTTACTAAAATGTATTTAATCTGCTGTCTTTTTCTTTTCTTTTTTTCACTTAAATGACCTCGGACAAGAAAGCCTATTTTTTTCTGTTGTTCAATACTGAAGAAATTTAAACTTTATATGCAGAACATTGTAGAATATTTTTAAGGTTATCTGCTATAAAAAGCCAGGCCAGAAAAATCTCCTTCATGTTTTTCGGTTTTATTCTCAGTTACTTTCAGACAAAGGCATCTGCTGTGATGTTCACAATTCTGATGAAGTCAGTACTGATAAATGATCAGAATTATAATATTTCTGACTGTCTGAGGCTAAGTTGAATCGAATCGGGACTTTGAAAACCGGAATCGAATGGATTATAGAAATCAGTGATGATACCCAGCCCTAGTGAGCAGCCTAGGCATGACAGAAGTGGATGTAGCTGTAATAGGAAAAGAACTATTGCTAACTTTTCTGTTAAGTTAAGGCCTGATCCTTCTGAAATTCATAGCCAGTGCTCTGACACGTTGTCATCAATCTTTGAATGCTGAAAAAGCACAGTGTATCCAGAAAAACACATTATATTATATAAATTATTATAAAATTTGTGTGCGCCTAACTTTTGTGCCGGTACGCCCATGGCAAAAAGTTAGTCTAGAGCCCTGATTAAGTAATGAATAAATGAACTGCTTTAATGTTACTAGTAAAAGTTTTGCCTCTTGGCCTTGGAGATCACTGCCAGTAAGATGCTTGCTTGGTAAGTGTTCACATTTTCTTAGCTTCAAGTCGGTGTGATGGTTGAGGAATGAAGACACAAGTATAAATACAAACAACAATGCTATGTAGACACTACTGGATTTCAGTACAAAACTCAGTAACTATATGTTGCACTTTTTAAAAGAATTTTGTTGTAAAGATATTTAATTTCCTCTCTTATCCCCGCTTGATTTTCATTGTAGTTTCTAATGCAGTTAATTCATTTTCATTTGAAAATGCACAGTCCTCTAGAACCTTATCAGGCATTTTAAAATAATGCACACAGTAAAGTTCTTTTTTGCATTCCTCGGTGCACGGTGCAGAGATGAATAAAAGTATACTCACTGAGGCTGCAGGCCAGTGTGTACTTCTATTTAAAAACAAACAAACAAAAAAAAAGCTGCATGTCTGTTTGCAGACTGTGCGAGACAGTGGGGCGCAGAATGTGAAGAGCCTCTTCAGGAATAAAAAGGAGCTCTGTGGCATTGGTTTAGAGCTGCCAGCAAGAGACGCCACCAGGCTGACAGAGGTATGTCACACAAACGCACTAGTGAAGCTCAGCCATGTTTAAACACATGACACATCAATATTGACCACCAGCTGTGCTTTTTCAGATTCACTTTGTGTGTCTGCCTGATGTAAGTGAAGGAGAAGACGTCACCCAGCAGGTACAACATGTTAGTTATGGACAGTAGGTCATACTTTGATGGTAGAGGACACAAAAACTCAAAAACTAAATCTCTGAGTTCTATCCTGGTCTTTTAGTTACCACTTTGGCGTTCAAACTGGGGTGATTCTGAGTGTTCTTGTCCACCAGGCTCTGTCTTCTCTGTCAGGGGGGCTGTGTGAGCTTCTCAGGTCCCTCCACGTCCACAGCATTAAGAACGATGAAGTCCTGCTGCTTAAAGACTCTCGCAGACTGCCAGAGCACAAGGATGCTGGACCTCAGGTATGTGAACGACCGTTTTTGTGTTAAATGAATTTGTTTTGTCACCATGCCAAACAAAGCAGAAGTGATCGGAGAGAATAACAGGAAATAAGAGTGGGTAAGTGTACAGCACTTACTGCCTATCCCAGTAAGTACAGTCAATTGGAAAAGGAGCTCTCTAAACTGACGACAGACGCTTTCTCTTGTTTAACATTCTGGTGTTGTATCTTTTTAAATGCATAAATTTTTTGTTTTAGCCTCTCATTCTGGTCTTTAAAAAATGTATTCACTAAAATAGTTCTGCAGTGCTTCACTATGCTTATTCAGACCCCAGCTTAGCTGCATTCCTTTTGCAGTCCTCAGGATGTGTTGGGATCTGAATTTATATGTGTAGGGTTAATGATACTTGAAACATGTCCAAACATGGTAAATGTTTAATTTTAAGAAGATTTATTTTTAACAACCGCTAATCCAGTTCTAGCAGTTGTTGATTAGAAGTTTTCCCACATGAGGGCTGTTTCAGCATGTAAGCAGATGTACGAGTCTCTCTCACGCTTCCAAAGAAACACAGGTGTGGGATAGGCTGACAGAGAAGTTGCTTTTGCAGCCGCCACTTTCCTGTTCCTGTGTGCCATGTTTGGGTTCACACAGACCCTGCAGCTCATTCTGTGGCTCTCTCGCCCCAGCTTTGTGAATTAAAGAGTGGGCTAGCACTAAAGGATTTTTGCATTCTGCATATGCATCAATTTGCAATCAGGACACAGACATAACAATATACTTCCAGCCATCTCCCTCCTCCTGTGAGATAAAAAAAAATGCCCATGTGAATTTAATTTACAAAAGTGATTGCTTTGACTGTCTGTCTGCTTGCTGGGTAAAAATGATTTTCTTCAAATGAGCTGAAAAATCACCAGCCAAACCATGCTGTCAGCAATTCTCATTTCCTCCTTATTCCCTATTCTCATGCCATTTTCCTCTTTCTCCAGTATTGGTTAAAGACAGTGTGTGTGCTGAGGAATAGTTCCAGCACCAACGTTTACCCTCAAGCCAGTGTTCCAACTTTGGTGGGCCTGCTGGGGTGCTACATGGCAGGTCTCCGCTATACGCTGGAGCTTCAGGCTCTTCAGAGGGGCGCAGCTGAGCCCAACCAGCCAGACGAAGACGACACCAACCAGTCGGTCTCATCAATCGAGGATGACTTTGTCACAGCCCTAGAACATCTGGAGGAGGACGACACAGGAGACAATACCTGTAGGTTTAGCAGCCAATGCTTATTGGCATTTAGTGGCCTCTGGGTTTTGAGTTATGTGCAGAAAAGGATTTCTTTTTATTTTAATGCTCTCATAATGCTTGGTGGTATACCACTTGTAATTTCATGTATAATATAGACATTCCTATATTTTCCAAGTAGCACCAACTGGTAAAAAACTCCATAGTTGCGCTTAGTACGGGGAAGAGGAGAGAAGAGAGCAGAGATGCGCGCCCCCCCCCCCAAAAAAAAAAAAAAAAAAGTGTGACCAAACAAGGACCCGTGTCTGCTTTTTGGAACCTTGTTTGGTTTTTGAGGGGGAATAAAAGCTCTTTTGCAAGTATTTCTGCTTCTGTGGTCGGCTCTCCTCTGAGGAGGATTTTCGCAGCAGGCAGAGATTAGCAGGAATGTCACACACACACACGTCCGCGCGCACACACACAGACTGAGACTGGCAGGACAGTTGAATACTTGAAAATACTGAAATCTGAAAATACTTAAAGATTTTTGCCCTCAAACTTTGGAGGAAAAAAGTGACATTATACAGCAAAACGGTCACAGTCTGTTTAAAAACTCTAGTCCCGTGGTAGATATTTCATTTTTGATAATACAGCCTAAGAGTAGATTATTTGTTATTTTGCATATTGTTTTGAAATGTAGGGTTCAAATCAGCCAGAGGTGTGAATGTAATTGTGGAAGGTTGTCTTTCTCTCCGGATTAGTGCTGCGACAGAGTGGTGACCTGTCCAGGGTGTACCCTGCCTCTCCTTCAGCATTGGTCGGAAATTAATCAAACATATAGACAGTGATTACTTAATAGGTCTTCAGCCAAATTGTGCTCAAGGTCACAGTTATCATTTTTTCTACATTCTCAACACATCTAGCCCTATGGAAAGACTTACATAGAATTATTAATATTGTGATTTAATGTGAAACAATTAGAATCTTACAAGAATAATGTAATATGTATTTTTTCCATCCGCAGCACTATGCTGTCATAATCTGTGCGAACTTTAATTAAAACGTCTCTAGAGTGTAAATGGTTTCAGTTCACTGCTAGATGGCACTAATTAGCTATTTACTAGTTTTACTTGTCTGTTATTTTTCCACAGTGCCATAAGCACTGTGGAAAATCATCTTATAATCCCCTCTTTGCAATTGTTGCATCTAACCACTTTTCTCCTCTTTCTCCTTTATGTCCATCTCCACAGCTGCAGCTCCATTTAGTCATTTTAAAAAGCGTGATGTGGCTTCACAGACAGTCCCAGCCCACAAGAGAAAAAAGGAATTATCAGGCTCCCGCGTTATCATAAGCTCGTCTTCGAAGAAGTATTCAGCCAAACACAGATCTGGTCCTGACGTATCTGTCACAGTGCAGAGGTCATCGGGTGTGGAATCCCAGTGGACTTACTGCAGTCCTGGAGCTCGTCTCCCCTCACCTTTGATTCATGTCAGTGAATCAGAAGAGTCAGACTGTTCCAGCCCCAGCCCTATCATTTTCCTGGATGAAGTGGGCTACCAGAAGAGCCTGCTGGCCAAACTGGACATTCCTCAAGTGCCAGGGGGGCCCAGAGAGCGAGTTGAAGACTCAGATTCTGAAGTTAGTGAGTTTTTTGACAGCTTTGACCAGTTTGATGACCTGGATGAGCTCAACTCTGAGAGCTGTACTCTTACTCTGCCTCTGGATGCGATTAGTGTCCCAGCAGCACAGAAAGAGGCTGATGAATCTGGCATAAGTACATCATCTTTAAAATATGTTTCTAGGGGCTGCTCAACCAAGGGAATGAATCCTCACCGCTTTGATCAGCCCACTCTCCCAGCCAATGTGAAAAAACCCACGCCCCTGAAACCAGGCTCTCCTTACTCAATTCCCTCTGAGGTGCCGGATTCTCCTCGGCCTGTACAGACTCCCTCTGAGGAGAACGGTGGTCCCCTCTTCAGTCCTTTGAGCTCCTCTGCCTTCAGTCCCCTGGTGGACTCCAGCGGGCCACTGGAATACTTCTGGAATACAGAGGCGGATGGACAAGATGACTCTGAGCTTCGTAAACCTCAGGATCTCTGTTCTTTGTATAAGACCTACTCAGACTTTGCTAGCAGTCTGTCCAAAGAAATTCTTGGATCTGTCTGTGGCTACCAGTCTGCTGTCGACATCAGTGACAACAAGAATCTCTCCTGTGTCTGCCACAAGGAATTTAAGAACCCTTCAGGATACCTGATGAAACTCTCAGAAATACAGGAGACTGTAACGGTGGCCAAGCTGCAGAAGAAATCCCAGTCTCTGAAAGATGGTATTCAGAGGTTTGCCAGTGACCTTGTGGAAATGAGCTTAGGCAGCGCTTTGCGAGACCTCCAAAAAGGGGTGTCCTCCTGCACCACCACCTTGTGCCACCTAGCTGCTCGACTTACCTCCTCAGTATTTCAAATGGCCTTCCATGAGATTGGCATGCGACGTGCATATGTACTGAAGGAGCGGGCAATCAATGGGCTGGCCACTTTCCTGGTTGGAGAGGCCGTGTCCGCAGCGCTCAAAGAGTTCCTGACTGTGAAGAAGCAGATTTTCCACAGCACTGTAACACGTTTTGCTGCTGATCTGGCTGAAGAGCTTGTTTTTGAAGGTATAATGGAAGTATGTCAGTTCTCCCACCCCTCAACGCCTCTCACCCCAAGTGATTGGTCTTTTGGCCATGGGCAAGAGGAAGAAGAGGAGGAGGAGGTGGTGGTGTCCTCCTATGCTTCAGACCTTTCTGAGTCTGTCATCCAGGAGGCCTTCATAGAGCTCTCTCAGGCAGATGTTGCCTTCACAAGCCAAGCAGCTATAAGTGTGTCTGTGGACAACATCTGTTATGTCAGTGCAGATAACACCTGCACTCATACCTGCAGCACCTTTGCTAACCAGCAGGTTTTAAGTGCAGCGGTCCCAGCAGAGGATGCTTCTTGTACTGTGAAGAAAGCCCTGTTCACTGTATCAGGAATGGCCAGCTGTATTCCTGTGCCCCAAGCAGGGCACGCCCTCTCCAACCTCCAGGATTCCGAGGAGACCACTCAGCAGAGGTCTAGCTTGTCACATACTCCACCGACCAGCCCCAAAAGATCAACTGTGTCATCCTCTGACAATGCCACGTCTCCACTAACGGCCCTTTACAGTCATGGAACTCAGACCTCTCTACCAGCAGGAGAGCCCTCCCAAAAACAGTCTTCATTCCAAAACTTCTCTGGCAACATGGTGGATATGATAGTAACTGAGGCTTGTGAGCTAATAACTGCCTCTAAAATGAAGAAGGGTTTTGGCGACTGTGCTGACTTCCTCACAAAGACAATCAGAAGCCGCAGGGACTCTTACGATGCTCTGGATTCCCCTTCAAAGCAAGGAGTTGTCAGGGAAAGTTTTAGATATGACTATACAGATTCTGGGCATGTTAGGCTAGGTGGCCCTATGGGACAAGAAAATAATCCTCCCATTTCCTTTCAGACAGGCACTCTAAACCAGGGGAGTTACCGATGTGACCGAGGCCCCAGGACCAGGGGTGTGTCTGAAACACATCCTGTGATGATGAATACTTTGGAAGTGCCGGGTAATGAGACGGGTGGACAAAGGAGGATATCCACTACTGTGGATGATTCAGCTCCAAACTCTGGACAGAAGTCTGCTGCGACTCCTGGTACTCCTCCTTCCACCCCCCAGCAGCCCAGTGAGGTGTCCAAGGAGAGACAGATAAAGCAGTTCTCCAAAAAGCTGAAAAGCAAGCTGGCTAAAGAATTTTCCCCTGCAACACCACCTCCAACCCCTCACTATCAGCCTGAGCTGGGCCCGGGACCAAAAGACACCATCCCAGATGAAGACAAGGCAGAGTTTATGCTCAAACTGATGAGATCTCTCTCTGAGGAGGCTGATGGAAATGAGGAAGAAGAGGAGGAAGAACCGGCAGAAGAAGGCGGTGTTGGAGTCACTAACACATGTTCAGAGAGAGGGGGCGGCCGACACACACCCAGCCCGATGTCCGCTCGCGTAATGTCCAACAAGGAAGCTCTCCACTATGCTGAGCGGTTGGCGTGCCACATAGTCTCGATGGCAACAGAGATGGACATCCTAGGAGGGGCGGAAGAGGAGCAGGGAGAGATGAACCAGGGCAGTGAGAAGAGGAGAGACAGTGTGGCTCAGTTTTCAGAGCAGACCCTCAACTCATTGTGGGTGTATGCAGGAGAAGTGGCGGGAGAGGTAATTAGTGATGTGAAGAGGATGGTGAGCTCTGGACAGCAGTGCCCGTATCACAGAGCTCTCAGAAGAAGAAGCTGGGACAGATCTAGCTCCGAATGTTTGCATTACCACCACAGACATCACTCTCAACCCGGTACAGACCAGAGCAGAGACTGGAGGTTAGTAAGGCTGGCTGAGCAGTGGTCCAATGACCTGATTGCCTCGGTCTCCCAGTCTTCCACCTCTGCTTCGAGCACTGTGTCTAGCTCCAGCTCTGGTCTATCCTCTGAGTATCCCAGCTGTGAGAGCGTGACAGATGAGTATGCCGGCTACCTCATTAGGGTGCTGAAAAAGGAAGGGGGGAGTAGGGAGTTAGTCCTGGACCAGTATGCAAGCCGTTTGGCTTATCGTTCTATCAAACTTGGCTTGGCTCACGCCAGTCGTAAAGTAAAGCAGAGATCCCCTAGTGCACGTCTTCGCTCCTCTAAGTCTCTGCCAGATGAATGGAAATCGTCTTGTAGTAGTAAAACATCATCAGCCAAGGATCGAACAGAGATGGATAGAAACACCCAGTGTTGTTGCAGGGACTCTGAAGAGCAGAGTAAGAGGGAGTACATGGATCTAGTCCACTTTGCTGAATCTTTAGCATATAATATCACCTGTGATGTCACACGCAAGCTCCATCTCTCCTCTGTACGGCTGCCAAAGTCTTTCACTGACTCCTGTCTTTATAAAAAATCCAAACTGGAAGACATGGCAGAGAATCTCATCAGGAACTCCTTCTCCTGCCCTCTGTTATCCAAGGAGGGTAAGAGCAAGCACTACCACAGCACAGGGAGTCTCTACGATCAAGGTTACAGTAGCAAGGTGATGCAAGTCATTGAGCATTATGCCAGGAAAATAGTGGATGACACGCTGAAGATAAGCATGGCTTCAGTTGGCCATTCATCACGGGAGCACCAAGACCATGACAGACACACTCACACACAGAGGTTGTCTGAGGGCCCAGTTCTGGTCCGGGCAATGGGGGAGAGGGCGTGTTGTTGCTGTCAAGTCCAGGAGTGTCCATACTGCAGCAAGCACAGCAGGCACCACTACCAACCTGTGCTGCAGAGGAGGAAAAGGGGAGGAGACTGTCAAGCAAGAGTGCTCTCTAGTCTGGAGATTCCAAAAATCCACATCGACCTGGACCACAGGGTGGCATTTGCAGAGGAGATGGTGTCCATGGCAATGGATACAGCAAAGCGCGAGCTGAGCAACACCAGCCTTAATGCTGACAGCGGGATCGGCCATGATGGCACCAGCTACGCCGAGAGCCTCACTGCTGAGATCATGACATCAGCCCTGTCCAACATATGCCAGGCTGCCAGGTACACACTTCCCAGTTCACATCAGGAAGAGTGTTTGTTTGCCCCGAAATTCATTCCATGCATACATTTAATCAATGGCCAGGCCATAAACATGTGTTGTAACCTATAATCAGCTTTGTTTCACTTCTTTTGACAAACATTTTAATGTTTTATTTTCCCAGTTTTACTGCACTGACATGTGACTATTTGCATTGTTATTGGGGCTTTTTTTTTTTCTTTCTCTCTCCTTTGGTTTCTTTGTATTTAGTGCTTCGGGTAGGGAAACCACTGAGTCCACTGTGTCCCAGCAGCTGAGTGTTGGAGATGACAGCCTGGGAAGCTGGTCTAACCTGAGCTTTGAAGATGATCACCCAGATGATAACAGCAGCTTCCTCCACCTCAGTGACAGGTAAACACACCTAACTTTATATCTATCACCTCTAGAGCACAGTCCAACTTGGTGCTTTAAAATATACGTTAGAATGGGGTCTGAGAACATTTGTAGTGCATTCCTTATTATACACTTATTTATGCACAGCTTTTTAACCAGAATTTGAAAGAAAGAATCAGATTGTGATTTATGGAGTGGCTAGCTACTAGTTACACTCCATAAATCTTTATATGTTATACTAACATATAAAGATTTTTTCCTTTGGTTGATTTTTAGCTTCAAGCTTTTGTCTGTAGCAATAAAAAATCTACCTAAGGCACTTTCGCTAAAACGTCTGAAGAATCCTTGAGAGTAAATAAACTACATACGGGGCGCTCCCCTTGAGAATTAAAGGTTTGGTTGTTTTTTTTTTTCCTGTTTTGCATTCACACCCACAATAGTAACTCTAATGTCACATAAGAACCAGCTGGTGGTTGGGTTAGCAACTATAGCAACCACAACAAGTCTGAGAACAAAGTGATCATAGCTGTGTGTCGTGGGTTTCATGATTAGCTTAGTTGGAAAGCAGACATGCAGATTTTGACTTTACGGTTGAAATCACCCAGTTTGTGCTCTTTAAGGTGACATTACCAGTAACTGTCTTTGTGTGTTGTTACACCTTGAATGTATAATGACACAGAAATCTTTGCAGCTCCCAATAACACTCATGATCACCACCAGATCCCAGACAAATAGATCCTTTGTGCCTGTTTTAACATATGCCAGTGGCACAGTGGGTAGCACAGTTGCCTCACAGCAAAAAGGTCCTAAGCTCAATTCCATCATCAGGTTGGAGTCTTTCTGTGTGTGATGCATGTTGTAGGATAGGCTGGATAGGCTCCAGCCCCCCTGCGGCCCTGTAAAGGATAAGCGGAAGCAGAAGCAATCAAGAAAAGAGAAACAGAAAAGAACTTCATAGAGACCAAATTATGCTTTATAAACTGCTTACTGTATTATGGGAAATCTCCCAGTAGTCTGATACTATAGAAGCATAACTAAGGGGTGGTTCAGGGTTCCTTGATCCAGCCCCAAATGTAAGCATTAAAAAGGAACATTTTAAGCCCATTTTTCAAAGCTGACGGTCTGTCTCCAGACTTGTTTCTATTTGTCAAAAATTCCCTTTTTTGATAGAAGGTAAAAGAGGCGCGACAAAATGCGACGCACAGCACATTCTAGGAACTTTGATTGTTGCTGGTTGCCGATACACTGAAAACAGAGGACGTTCTACTACAAGAAGAACAAAACAGTAATAGAGAAGATCGTTACTAATCATAAATTTGGTTGTAGGGCTGGGCGATATATCGAGTTTTTAAAAAATATCAATATATTTTCATACAAGATATAAGATTTGACAATATCCTTTATATCGATATAGTCTATGTTACGTTATAATTATACTTGTGGAGCCACAAGTTTGCCTCTCTTTCGTCCACTTTTGTCTCTGCGCAACATTACTTGGCCTCGCCTTTCCCTCACTGAACACAACTCCCCCTCCTCCCCCATAGCTTCACCTGCAGGCAGCGACAAGATGGACACGGCAAATCTCCATTAGCAAGTTGTGGGGCTGGATGGCGTCAATGTGTTAGCAAGCTAACCGCGCTACCGAGCTAACCACGCTAACGACATGCAGCCCACAGGGGCTGCACGGCCTAAAATCCTTTCATTTTCTCAAAAGTTGACAGCGCGCCTTATGTATGAATTCTGGTTGTGCTTACTGACCGCGAACCGATTTTAGCTGGTACACGGCGCTCAGCAATCTGTCAAATGTTTTAGTACGACTTTGGTAAGCTACGGAGCTGCAGTGCTTGATGGATTGTCGGAGCATTACGGCTACCGTAGTCTGTAGCCTCGCGGAGTGATACGTACTGTGCTTCAACGTAATATTACCGTATTGTGTGTGTATAAGGGCCATAAAGAGGATTTCAAATCAAGGCTGTCAGTCACGCAGTAGAAGTTGGGAACAGAGCAGCTGGGAAATCTGTCTTTGTTATTATGCTCAGCGTGTGTTAGTTTACATTTTGACTGCACAATTATGAGCTTTTTGTTATGCACAAAAACAACATTGTTTTCTTTTATTTATGGAGATTGCATGATTATTTAATAAATGCTGATAATTTATTTTTGAGTAATTTCTTCATGTAAATCTATGCTGTATGTAAATAAAAATGCCTGTGTGACATCTGGGACACAGTGTGACTAAGAACTCTCTTTTTGTTCTTAACTTATGGCTTTTAAAAAATATCGAGATATATATCTTATATCGCCACCCACCTAAAAAATATAGAGATATGAATTTTGGGTCATATCGCCCAGCCCTATTTGGTTGTATATCATCATTTCTCAGATGGTGTAATGTTCAGTACCAATTATTTTGTATATGATTTAACCCACATTTAATTACCTAACGTTAAATGGAAGAGGTTTACTACTCAGAATAAATGCTAATATTAATATGGGGGAAAAAACCCAAAAATTAGTAGACAGTGGAGCTCTTTAATGGTTTATTATTGCATTTCACTGTTTAGCTAACAAAACTGAAATGGTGCAAGCGTCATCCTGAGAAGTTTCCGACAGGTAAGCTGAAATAAACCTTACTGTACAAACATGAACATAAATACTTATTTATGTTCATGTTCCAAACTCTGCACCATGGCCAAGACTAAAGAGCTTTCCAATGATGTCAAGGACAAGATTGTGGGCCTACACAAGGCTGGAATGAGCTACAACTGTGACGCACTAACACTAACTGACCCATTCAGAGCTGACCTTACTGCTCCAGGGTGCCGGCGTTTTAGTGCTGTCGTGGAAGGAAAGCACCGGTTTGCATTGAACTTTGTTTTCTGTGGAATACTTTCAAAATGTTTAAAATCTCAGTTTCTATTTTCTTCAGTCGTTCTGTTTTGCCGTTTGTGCTACATTCTTCTTCAGTATTGTCTAGTCTTGGCAGACGATATAGGCAATACTGCCCCCATAGTTTCCTGTAGTGTATTGCAGTTACAACACAATTATTAGCATATGAAAATGTTAACAATAAAATTCCACGTCAAATAATTTTTATAGTCGTTGCAGCTCTGCTTGGTACAGACTGATACTGCATGTCTTGTATGCAGTATCAGTCTACATGTGGGTATGCAGTAAAATGTTTTTTCATCATATTGTGACAGCTGCTACTATTTCTTTTGTCACAGCAAGTAGTATCCTTTCAATTTAATAAAAAAAAAAAAAAGTGAGTGAGCCTGATAAAGTCTCTGGGAAATGGGCTGTTGACAGTTCTGGCAAGGGTTGATATCTCTATGGAAGCAAACCTGACAATGGGTTTGTTCCCAACATGCTAAAAGAGCATATTGTGTTAGCATTAAGTTATTTTGGCCATCAGGGCAAAGTTAATGTGTCATAATATTTTCTAAAGGTGTGTCTTTAAGTGCTCACCTCTCTTCAAGTGCTGTTTCTACTGGAACAAAGTTCACCATGTGTAATTCATAAGACATTTCAAAGGCCTGCTGCTACTATTTCTGCTCAGCAGATGAAATAACAGGGGGAAAAATGCCTTTATGAGTTTAGCGAGACAGAGATCAGGCTGACTGACTAGATGAATCACCTCTCAGTATGCCATTCAGACCACACCTGCCACTGAGGTAATGCAGATTAATAGAGGTATTTTTAGATATCAGAAACATCTCTCCCTTTTAGTTAGGCTATAGCATGCCACGGTATGCAGGTTCCAGCCAGCAAGGCTAATCATTCACTAATTATAGCGAGAGTGTATATTGTTATGCTTCTGTTGCCAGCTGGTTGTCCCGCTGGAAGCCACATGATTAACGAGATTATGTGAGAACAAAAATGTAATGATCTCACATCTCAGGACTTTAGCAACAAATGGGCCCAGTCAACATTAAAGCTGATTCAGGGGGGTGTACAGTGGAAAAAACCTGCATCATTTGAAGAATCCTCCTCTGTTTTTTCAACCTCACCTGACATTTAAAGGATTATTCCAAATACCAGAAAGGGTCATCCACCTCCGTGTTGTTTATTGACGATACATGACAGTAAGCTCTTATAGCAAATGTGATGAAACTGCTTATTACATCCTGATCTTTTGTTGCATTTTGGTAGCTCTCTGTGTTAGCCACTTACTGTGTCAGTGTTACAGCGGTGTGTTACCTGCCTTCTGTGTCCAGCAGTAATGGGAATAGCAGTAGCTGGAGCAGTCTGGGCCTGGAGGGGGAGGCGTGTGAAGAGCGCTTGTCATTCTCCCCCTCTGACAGGTTGGTCAGCACCCGATTGGCATGGCTATCCTTGGAAAAGAGATGCACACAAGACATGGGGGTTTACCTAGAATGTGACAAAGAATGAACTGAATTTGCTATGAAAGCACCACAAAGTACTGAAGTATGTGATACATCCACCAGTGGAAAATCTTTCTTCATCATATGAAAATGATTTAAACTGCCACTCTACAATAGTCTGATTTATACTTTGTCTCATACTAGGAACCACCAGCCCCCTAACATGACCATATTTGAGCTTTAAACATTAATAGACTTGACATGGCAAATGCTTGTTGATGCTAATCTTAGCATGCAATGTGTTGCTTAAGTTTTGTTGGTTCTGCATTGCTTGCATGCAATTTTTTGTCTTTGTGGGAAATATGTAGTGCTATTATTTTGTCCATGTTGTATTACCTCTGAACAGCCAACCAGTCCCTGAAGAACGACTTGGAGGGTTATTTTTCATTTAATTTCATAGTTTTAGAAACTATAATATATTAACTTTCAAATTAAGTCTCTGGCATGCATTATGACCAGGCATTCCC